CACAGGCAGATGTTTCGCAACTAACTCCTAGGAGTAGCTTTGAATTAATTGGGGATGATGGATGAACTTGTTCGGTACACTGGGGTATCTGTGAATCATTAGAAGGCCTTTGAAGCCCGCAGCTTAGCTTATATAAATAGTTCCGACCACTACTAATGAACGAAAAGTGTCGATGGATATGGCGGACATAGCCAGGGTCATGTTAAGCACTTGGGGAATCAGGGGTACATTTTGCAGAGAGCAACCACAACTGAGCTCCATAAATACAATTCAATATTATTTATTAACTATAGTTTGATTAGTACACAAACACGCACATCTACTTGCAGTTTCCTTCTGGCTTTGGAAGCATCAACATATCTTACTGTCAATCCGAAATCGCCCCCTCCTCTGGTGAATCATCTCTAAGGCTGAGGGCTTATATCGCCAAAATTTGAGTTTAGAAACCTGTGGTGGGCAGATAACAGATAGTTCATTGCGTAGCTTTGTGTTTAACAACAAACAAACGAACGATCCGAAATCAATTGTTCTCATCATGTCACTTTCAATCGAAAGCATCACTAAGACACCCAACCGCTAGGCTTTCACTGTTGACAGTAGCTTGATTTTGATTAACATTTTACTAAATAGTCGCTCGCCGCTGCAGTTCGTCACCATTGAGCTTAAGTAGATCGGAACGGCAATAGATACGTCGGAGGAAAAGTGTCAGTCAATTCCCCTTTCTGTCCTGAAATGCAGATTACAAGAAGAAAAAGCGTATTTCAAACAGTAGTCGTCCCATTATCCTGGTGCAAGGCCCAAAATGGGCCTTATTTGCAAGGGGGACAGAATATGGCACTTTAAATTGTTTAAAAGTATCTTACTAGCAATTACTAGTGGGTTAACACTTCTTAATCAGTAGAACACTGGTCTGGCCCGACGTGAAGAAATACGAAATTCTAGGGTGATTATATTAATGTAAACATATTTTATCCTTTCTAAAGTAGTGTAAAATACATCTCTATGTATTTTTATGCAGATTCGGCATGTAGTTTTTGTTTGTTTGTTGTCTATCTGTAGCGTGCCCACTGCTAGTATCGCTGTAAATCAAATTAACGAAAGTCGTAAACACACACCAACCCTCTTGCATAGAGTAAAGATCACATACTACCAGATTTACTATATGTCAATGTCTACTACCCGGAGTTGGGCAAGCTTATTTCAAGAGGTGACACAGATACGTGTGCAAGTAAGTACGAGTTGGTAGGTTCTTTCCACTGAATATATGTAATTAAAAGAGTCACTGACGTAGTGAACCGCAAGATTGTGGTACACCACACCGGGCCCGACTTGAGAAAGTAGTATTTCATTATTTTTGTTTTGGCTCTTGTCATATGTGTAAGTTTTACGGAATCCATTGTCACTACCCAGCATTCAGTGAGAAGTCACAAGAGAAACTCCCCTGGTAAATGGTGATGTTTTTCTTCGCTGCCCGTGTTCATTTTGTTACTTTATAAAACATCTCAAGAATCTGGTGAATATAAGTGTACCTAAATACAACAGACAAGTTCTCATGTTACATTCCCGCGTAGGTGTCGAACCAAAGACCTCTTGCACACCAAGCAAATGCACTATGAAACTGAGGTAACGGGTTAATCCACTACTAATTGCTAGTAAAGTACTTTTCAACAACTCAACTACCACAAAGAGTTGTGTTGTCTATATAAGACTTGTATCTATATTTCCCTTCATTACAACAGGGCTTAAAATATGCCCGACGAAGTTGGTGTTTGTCTGGACATTTTGTCCAGAATGTTATTATGACATTCGAAAAAATGGCTTCGCTACAAAAATCTAAGAAACAATTTTTCCCTTATCATAACGTCTTTTTTTTCGTGAATCACTACCATGTTTTTTTTGTTGTTGTTGTTGTTGTTTCAGATTTAATCTTCTCGAAATTTGCATGAGATTCAATACTTGTCAAAGTTTGATCAGTTTCGGTATTATTTCACTTGAAAATTGCATCTTTTCCAGAATCATTGTCTAATCGACAAGCATACAAAGGTGAAAAAATCACAAAATAAACACATGAATTGTAAACTCGGCGGGTGTGACTGAATAGACTTGGTTACTCAGATCCTGCAAGAAAAGCTTGGATATATGTAATAAAAAACTAGAAAACTCCATTTTGTAATTAAATTGTTATTATCGTGCCGACTTGGATATGTGGGGGCGTAATTTGTATTACCAGATTACTACTAAATAACTATGATGGATCCTACACGTTTACTCAATACCATTCACAACAAGTGTGAAAAATGTTACGTCTTTATAGTGAGGTCACAGTATAGCAACAATTATATGGTTTTAACAATGTTGGTTATTTCTAAACATTTCGGTATTAATAATAATACTCTTAAAAACACATGAAAAATCAGCTTCAAGAATGCCCTCACTCAAAGCATATAAAATAAAAAACATCACCTTCAATAATAATCTCACTCGAAACACATGAAGATAATATCAGTTTCAAATGCTAAAATAACACAGGGCTGCGATGGTTTTATCATCTTGAAATTTTTACATGTTCTACAGTAATTCCTGTACGCTGAATCCGAAAATGATATCCATTTTTCTCCATCACGTACAGTTTTTTTTTACAAAACGTCATATATATTTTTACATAAGTGAATCATTTTCATTGAAATCGGGTCACATTTTGTTATGCTTAAAATGCTGACAACTACTGGCTATAGATTTCTCTAGACCAATCGTGATGTGAGAGTCTTATCGATCGTTCTGGAACCCACTAGAAACACACATAATAATAATAAAAAATGTTCATTGTGGTAAACGAAATAATAATTTGATCTAAGTAAGAGTTTTTTTTCTTCTTCCTGATTTGTAAAAAATCCTTACGTGATAGAAAAAAAAGAATATTGTTTTCGAAATTGCGTAGCTGAATTATAGAAAATCCGTTCTTAAAACCAAAACTTTTATGAAGTTTAAATTCGCAGTCCTGTGTAATTCATCGTCTAGTGTACTGAGCAATTACCTGGTAGCAACACTGGTGGCTATCATTTGAAAGTTGTGGTGCGTGTTAGGTTTAGTAACCTTTGTACAAGCTTCATTTTAATGTTAAATATAATACCTTTGATGATTAAATTTAACCCTAGTTTTGATACGAGGTTGTTATATATATATTACTATGATCATTTTAGGCTGTCTTAACGTTTCTACTGATATTTAAAATCATATTACCTTGCTCCAATGTTTAGATATTCAATAACTAATTTATACACTAAAATAGAATTTATTTAAAATATTAACCTGTCTGAATTACTTACAGTAAACAATATTTATTTCCTGACAAATTATTATTTTTAGAAACTTTAAGCTTTTATAAGCTGTTTCTTTACTTCGTTTTTATATTAAAAAAATCTACAAGTTGAGAAAAAACCCAAAAACATTCTAATTGGTTGACTGTAGTATAAAGCCTCTACATACATGTGCATAGTTGAAACAACAATTAAATTGCCAAGAGAAGTGTGTTGTTTATACAAGACTGTATGTACAGTCCCTTCACAACAAGGCTTAAGGTAGAAGTCGGAGACTGTTGGATATATCTAACGAGAAAAAAACACCATCCCCCTCTCTTAAATATATCCGTATATCTCCAATTGCACTACATTTTAAAAAACCTGAGAGATTATTCACACATGCAATTTATCATAACAAATCCATTTTAAGATCCTCCTCCACTTTGCTGAATTTGTGTTCGGTTGTCAATAAGTGCGAAGTCTCTTGATAAAGATTCACGATTACTGAATACAAACTTCTTATTCAAAAACATAAGATAAAAAAAGACGTCCCTATCTATACAGGTTTCTTGAATAATTTATTGTCGAACTAGTTCTACACAAAGGTTTAAACTTGTTTGTATATATATGTATCCATATACACAGTTGGACGTTTTATCACCAGGCTTGAAATCGAATGTACCTAACCGTAACAAACGCCAATTATTAATGGATTTTAGTTTGATTTGATTAACCTTTTAGAAACTCTTTTTATTTATTTGTTTGTAGTTAAGCACAAAGCTACACAATGGACTATCTGTGCTCTGCCCTCCACGAGTATCGAACCCCAGTTTCTAGCAGTATAATTCCGCAGACTTACCGCTGTCCCACTGGGGGCATTTATTTATTTGTTTGTTTGTAGTTAAGCACAAAGCTACCCAATGGGCTATCTTTGCTCTGCTCACCACGGGTATCGAAACCCGGCTTCTAGCGTTGTAAGTCCGCAGACATGCCGCTGTGCCACTGGGGGGGGGGGGGGCTTTATGCATTTACAAACGTCTTACCTGAAAAATACTTTTAGATTATAACATAGGTGTCAGTTATTTTGAAGAGTAAGTAGTATATGCAACCTTTTGACACAGATAATAAAACAGAAAGTTAGCTTCTGAACAAAATGCACAATATCCATGTTTTGTAAACCTTGATACTTTAAAGAAACTTAAAATTTATTTTATTCACATAAAATATATTTTTAATGTGCTCGTAAACTTCGCAAATATTTATCTAGTTCCCTTTCACCAGCGGATTACGATGCCACCTACAATACAAAAAAAATGTTGGTTTATTGTTAAACGCAAAGCTACATAATGGGCTGTCCGTGTTGTGCACATCACGAGTATCGAACAACAATAAAAACAACAAAGTTGTTATACGTCTCAACACAGCCTCTTACTGTCTGTACGAAAGCTATATTTTATGTAGATAAAAATTATTCATTTTCCCAATTTTTATGAATAACACTCATATGACTGACTGTAACAACGAAGGTCAAAGTTTATAATTTTACATTAGCGTTATCATAGTGTGTTATTGCTGTGTTCCGAATTTATCCTTGGTCACGTGACAATCCTAAACCAATGGTAGGTTCAACGTGTTACTTTCTAGGCCAATAAGTGTCGAACTGTGTCAAAATGGTGGCTTAGATGAGAACTGAAAATAAACTCACAAATATATGATCGATTTTATTTTTGTACAGTTGTTGTCACGTAATAGAAAATACACAGAAATGCATTCCACAAACAACACAGTTTAACGAAACGAAAGTCGGTGAAATTAAACAAAACGGTGTGTATCTGGTAAAAGCTTTCGGATGATCCAACTGCGAACCGAAACTCGGTGGTCGCAACAAAAGGTAAAAAATTTTTATCATAAAAATCGTTACCACTGATTTTTAAAACTTGTTCAATTATTCAATAAAGACAACCATTTCACCAGACAAAATGATAATCGAATATACCTGTTAACTCCTATATGTACTTAGTTCGAGTAAGCGCCCTCTCTGCATGGGAAGGATCTGTCATTTTCTGCCAGTCTGTCTGACCCACAACAAAGCCAATGGCTCTCATCCGTTCCTGCGTTTTTCTTTCTTCAATATCTGCCCATCGAACCTAATTTATATAAAGTACACACACAGAAGAAAAATATAGTTAAGTTTATACTTTTCATTACATGGTAGAATTATCATACAACAAAGAAAATTAATTTTTGCATTTATTTTTTTATAGAATAACCAGTCACACATGACACTGTTACCTCCTTGTCGTACCTTGTGGTATCTTCTGTTATATTCTCGGTCAGGTCGATGGTTTACATCGGTATCCATGAAGATGGACGTCTGATATAAGCTAATTGCGAGACGCACCTGTCCATTTTGGTACAAGTAACGCTAAAATGCAAGCCGGCTTACAAAAAAAAAAGAAAAAAAATTGAAGGAGAAAAAAAAGCGAGAAAAGTCGAGATTTGAGATTTAAACTTCTGCTCTAGAAATAAAAATACAACAAGTCCGGCGATACTAAGTCGTCGAAAATGTTGAGATACGTGTTGTTTTCACTTTACGAGAGTGAATGTAGTAATTGTGCTAGTTTTTAATAAAAATGTAGTTTAAGAGTACTAAATCCTAACAGTGTTATAAAGGTGTGAAACACATTTAGCCTCATCCAGTAGTGCTGAGTGTTTGTTAAAGCAAATCCACATCGGGCTATCTGCTGTGTCCACCGAGGGGAATCGAACACCTGATTTTAGCGTTGTAAATCCGAAGATTTACCGCTGTCCCACCGGGGGACTTTTCCAGTAGTACCCTTAAGTTTCTCAACAAGATATACACATAGGTTACAATCGTCAAATGAATTTCACCAAAGAACCAAGTAACACACACAAGAACCATCGATACATACTAAATTTCAATCAGGTTATATTAAAGGTAAAAACTTTCAAACCAGAAAACAAATATATGTAGGTATGTATTCTGGGAAGTGTCCTGTAAATGTTGATTCCTAAAAAAAGAAGAGAAAGAGATAGAAAACAAATTAACATGTGAACAGTAAAGATGGTGGTTGACAAAATACCCTGATTACCATCAGGATAGGATGATAATAAGATCGTACTTGCCTTATAGACCGCGATTTAGACCTACATTTTATCCGAGTTCGACTATTTTTTTCATACACATGTTATGCTTTGTCTATGTATCACACCATGCGAGGTTGCCAACTCTGTTGTTTAAAAAAAAAAGTGGGGGGCAACTACCGGATTTATGAGTGGTTTACGGTAGATTTCTCACACGCATATATCTGGAACACCCTAATTCTCGTCTGTAATCCTCTTATGACGGGAAAAAGATGTCAGTAGATTGCAGATATTGGAAATTTATAAAAACATCAAAGAAAACGATAAAAAAATCGTTTTGGGTGACTTTTCAAGATGAAAACATTCACTGAAGAAGATGGCGTAAAATGAAAACGTTCACAAACCGAAGTAGTTCTAGTATTGTGCTTCACGATGACGTAAGATTAAAACGTTCACGAACCGAAGTAGGTCTAGTATTGTGCTTCACGAAGACGTAAGATTAAAACGTTCACGAACCGAAGTAGGTCTAGTATTGTGCTTCACGATGACGTAAGATTAAAAGTTCACGAACCGAAGTAGGTCTAGTATTGTGCTTCACGATGACGTAAGATTAAAAGTTCACGAACCGAAGTAGGTCTAGTATTATGCTTCAAGATGACGTAAGATTAAAACGTTCACAAACCGAAGTAGGTCTAGTATTGTGCTTCACGATGACGTAAGATTAAAACGACTACACTGAACACTACTATCGTCTTTATATGAACTTTATATGATATTTAAGAAGCCGTGACTTTATTGTGAAAACGTTCAAAATGTTGTTTTCATATCGTACGTTTTCGGGAAAGCTAGCATTAGAGAGAAATAAAAAAACAAGAGCATCACGTTACTTCCCCCCCCCCCAAAAAAAGCTCAAACCTATT